TGTGTGTTTATCTGTATGTCTGTCAGTCTTTGTGTGTATCTGTACATGTGTATCTGTGTCTGTTTATCTGAATGTGTATCAGTTTGTGTATATTTATACCTGTGTATCTGCATGTATGGCAGTGTGTGTATCTTCGTGTATGTGTATCACAGTGTGTGTGTGTGTGGCAGTGTATGTGTATATATGCATACATCTCAGCATTCAAAACGCCAACTCTACACACAAATACACATCTGCATGCAAACGTCAAAACTATAAACACACACCTGCATGTAAACATCAACATTACAAACACACCAAAATTTATATAAGCATACCCTTGCATTCAAAAACTAACACTACACATAAATGCATGCTTACATTCAAACACAGACACTACATATAAACACACCCCTACATTCACACAAACATACTCCATACAAAAACATGTTTACATTCAAACACACAAATTCTGCTCAGTGCTAAATACAATTCTGCAAGCATGGGAAATCGGTAGAGCCCCAGCTTTCAAAGCATTATTGCATGACATTATTATTGCATATTATGTCTCTGTATGACTGTCTGCGTATGTATTTCTCTGTATCACGGTGTATGTATGTCTCTATATGCCTATCTCTGTCTCGTTATGTCTGTGTCTGTATTTATATGTGTGCCTGTGTCTGTATGAATGTATGTCTGTGTTTGTATGACAGTGTACCTGTATGTGTAGATTATATGATTGTGTTTGTTTGATTGTGTGCCTTTTATGACTGTGTGTCTGTATATCTTTGTGACTGTGCCTGAATAACTATGTCTGTGTGCTTGTATGGTTGTGTGTCTGTATGTTTGTGTATTTGTGTATATATGTATTTTTGCGTGTATCTATGCCTATGTGGGAGAAAGAGAGATTAGATAGGTGATGGGGAGAAAGAGAGATAGGGGCTGAGGGAAGAAAGAGACACAAATGGGCTGGGGGAAGTAGGAAATACATAAGAGGGGTTGTAAGAGACACACCAAAGGGGGGTGTAAGGCACAAAGGGGTAAGACATTCAAGAGAGGGGATATGAAACACTTATGGGGTAAAAAATTCAAAAGGGAGCTAAGGGGGCTAGGAGAGGTAAAGATTGTTTTTTTGGGGGGGTGGGGGGAAGGGTGGCAAAATGCATCTTCGGCTGTGTTGTCAAAAATCTTTGCACTAGCCCTGGCTATAGAGGCATAATCTATACACCAGAACTGCTTCATTATGCTAAAGTTGTTTTGGTGGCTATAGTATTTTCTCAGGAATTTTGTACTTTATTACTGCCCCTTTAAGACGGCATTGACGTACGAAAGACTAGCTCATTTAAACATCCATCGTCAGTGCCTCGGGGCACAATTAATGTGTTGAACTGTTTGTTTGCAAACTACACCTTCCCTCCTTATCATAGGATCCTTTACTGAGACTCTGTGTGTCCTGTCCCCGGAATCCCCCTGAAACCCTTACCTTCAACTCTGATTTATCTCCGGTTGCCAACACCGGACTGAAGACATGACCTTTCCTCCTGGATTATCCCTTTACAACTCTGATATGATCTCCTGTTGCCAACCCTGGACTGAATACAAGACTTTGCCCCTGGATTAACCCCTTTAACTCTGCTTTATCTCCTGTTGCCGACCACGGAGTGATACTAAACCTCTCTTCTTGGATGATCTTTTATTGTCCTCCTGGAGTGCCTTGCTGAACTTCCATAAAACGGTGAGTGGCCTTTTTTCATTTTTTTTATTTGTTAATTTAAAACATGACAGTATCTCTTTAATGCTCACATTTTCACAATTGTTACCAGCATGCTATAGGTACAGTTTCCAATGACTTCCAGTGACCTCTGATGTTCCCTGGATTTGAGGTTTAGGTGCTTAGTGTGTGTAGTGCAAGGTTTGCGGGTTCGCTGCAGTCTGATGTATTTGTTGAGTTTCTATTCACCTCCTTTCATTCCGATTCACTTCCAAGTTGACCAAACCCATTTCACCAGAAATGTGGCTTTATCAATGATTATTATGGTCCAGTAACCAGAAATCAGAAATTTAGAATCAGGACGAAAAGTAGCAGGGTGCTGGAAAAGAATGGAAGGACAGAACAGTGACTAAAACAATGGATCTTTGTAACCAAAGTCTTAGAATGAAAAAGCAGATGTTGGAATGTCTGTCTTCCCTGTCAGGGGAATTGCATGGGTGGAGGGCTTGCAGGGTTTCTAGCCTCAAGTGCAGTCCTGAAAAGCCCTGGTCTAATTTTGGCATACTTTTTTTGTTAGCCATGAGTCCTCTGTAATACTGTGAGAAAAACAACGCCTCCAACTATACATTTGTCTCAGTGCTACTTGCACATAAACCATGTTTGGAGTTAATTATCCAGCACACTGTGGAGTATAGTCATTATTGCTGTGGTTGCAGGCTTTTAATTCAGTAGGGAGAACATAGAGAGTAGTGAGAACGCTTAATACATCATGGCTTAGGGATAATATAGTAAGTGTGGAGTTTACAAATATAGGTTCATGCAATACTTGAATTCAGATAAGGACTTGGAGTCACAATGTGTTGGAAATGGTATTGGCCTGGTTTTAGGAGGGACTTAAAGGGACACACCAATAGAACTTTAATGAATTTTATAACTTTAACATCATTAATATGCTATATTTTTTGCATCCTCAAATCTTTATAGGTTTTGTACAAAAAAAAATGTTTTGCAGAATTCTGCCCCAGAGAGCTTTCAGTGAGCTGCTTTTAATTCACAACCTGGCTGCAGATAGTCAGAGAAAAACTAACAGGTAGTGATATCCTTACTATATACCTTTCTGTGTTTCCTCAACTTCTAATGCAGTTTGTTTTGTTGCTTAGATCACTTAGTGTTGTCAGTGGCTAAGCTGTGTACATACCTTTGAAAACAAAGTATTTTTCTGGAGTGGGTGTGTGCGGGTGAGGCAGGCTGATTGGGCAGCATTCTGAAAAACATTTTTTAATGCAAAACTAAATTTGAGCATGCAAAAAATACAGCATACCAATGGGGCAAAAAACAACAACAAATGCATTAAAGTAACATTGGTCCCCAGAAAGTCCTTTTAAAGGAATACTATAGGGTTTAGGAACACAAACTTCTATTCCTGACCCTATAGTGTTAAAAACACAATCTATCCCCCCTACCCTCCCTCTTAACCCCTAAATAACGAGAAACCTTACTTGTATTCCTGTCTGCTGGTGCTGGCTCCGCCTCTGACCTGTCTCCTAGGCTGACATCATCAGAAGGGATAATCTCAGCCAATCAGAATGCTTCCCCATTGAATCAATGCATCACTTGGAGGAAAGTTGTGTCACCATGCAGAGGGTGGAGACACTGAATTTCAGTCACAGTGTGCAGCACTGCCCCAGGAGGGACCTCTAGTAGCCATCTGAGGAGTTGTCCCTAGGCTGTAATGTAAACACTGCCTTTCCAATAAAAAGACAGTGTTCACTGCAAAAAGCCTGCAGGGACCTACTATACTTACCAGAACATCTACATTAAGCTTGTTCTGTTGTCTGGAGGCACTCCTGCTTTGTGGCAAAATAAGTGGAAGTAACCCTTCTGCACCAAATCCTGACGTTCACAGCCCCCATCCCTCCACACACAGCAGCACTTGCAATATATCTTTGTGATCCATGGTTGGATGGTTTTCATGAATAATGCAGAATTAAACATTGGTTGCTAGTTATTTGGGAAAACTGTGCTTGAATAAGGTTTGACAGAAAAGCTTATTGCATTATAACCACTGAAGTGTTTATGTAGTAGTTATGGTGCTATTTCCACTCTGATTAATGAACCGAGCTGATCATGCTGGAAATGAGCTAGCAGTCTTGTGGTTTGAACAGACACTTTAAACAGGGCACATCTAATAGACTAAAAGTTATAATTATTAACATAACTTATGCTGTAATGCTTTTTCTAAAAATTCATAATTTTAATAAATAAAAACGAAAATTAATTTAACGAATGGTAATAATCATAATAATAAGACACAAAGTAAAATATGGACGTTCATGCAATGTATAGAACAACAACAAAACTTAGTGCAGAAAGATATAAATTAACAAATCCATAAGTTAAAATGTGAAAATGTCATCTGTAGCTGAAAAGTTAATGAGCAGAAAACATCTGCCAGACTTTTGAGTGGTTCATTTTTATCTTGAAATTACAAACAGGTCCCACGTTCTCAATACAATTTAATAAGTGTCTAGAAAAGTTGAATGATAAGTGAATTTGCTCTTGGCACTGAATTAATCATAACTGTAAATGGTTAGCTACATTCTGGGAGAAACTGTTTTTGTGTTGACACAGACCAAAAACTACTTTGCTGCCATGGGGGCTGTTCATTAACACAAATCAAAACAAATACAAAACTAATCTCTAATAAAATGCAACAAAATATCAGTAACAAATGTTTGCTACGCTCATTATACGTAGAGATGAGAAAAATAATTGTCATGCTACCGAAATATGTAAAATTATGAAGTCTATTATTCTATTTGTGTTAATTAGGTCTTAAAAATGAATACAATGTTATGTTTTTACAATTTGTTATTTTTTTAATGCAATGTAGTAATTTTAGAATTTGCTTCCATATGTTAAGATTAGAGCTGCGTGCTTTTCAGCCTTTTGGCCCGTTGGAGTCACTTAACAGCGATACTATCTTCACTAAGATCTGATAACATGTGGAAGACTGAGCTGGTGCTGAATCTGAGCTGTTTAACCAGATATTGGTCATCTTGGAGCAAATCCTGCAATTACCACTTAGTCTGGAGTGCCAGTGAGTGCCAGGGGAGGCGGACACTCACTTTCATTACAACAAACCAGCATGCTTGAGTTTCCACATTGCTGAACTACAGTGCCTTTCTGGTGCCCTTTATCCTTCACCCCATTTGGACTTATGTGTGTCATCCCAGTCCACACCTTGGAGGTCCTACCATACTACAGAGGCTATACCTCAGGCCTACATATAAGGAGTGGCTCATTCAATATGGCGGACGCCATCTGCACACTCACCTACAACAGACCTGATTTCATGTCGAAACTAGATAAAATATTCAGAGATTTCTGGAGGAAGCTGACCAGGCGACTGCACCTACCTGCTTGGCAGGGGCCAATTGACTACTCACCACAAAAGGGACTGAAGAGCACCAGGCAAAATATGCCAGTTCCAGTTCCAGATTGGGCCCGAGAAAAGCAGAGTCATACAGAAGGGCCAAAGGAATCTGGCCCAAGATCACGGGAACCATCTTCAGGGACTTCCTGGAAAGTTGTGATAAATGTGGGGACACCAAAGCCGACCTAGAGACAACCTCATTGCCCCAACTGTTCCTTGCATCTGCTTCTATGTCGGCTGCCTTGGCCTGAAAATGCTGTTCTAAAGGGGGACTGTGTTCTGCCCATGAAGGATATAGGCTAATAAAAGTTCTGTGTTTGGAGCAATTTTCAAATACTTTTTATTGATACAAAGTGATTGTATCTATTTAAAATGAGGTATTTTAGGTATTTTACCCTTTTCCTTAGGAGTCACTGCAGTGCACTTGCCTGGTTATATTTTCTATTCTTTTCTTCTGTGGGTGGATTATTATTTCTACGTTAATCTCATAATTTAGTTCTGGAGCTTTACTTTATTTAAAATATTCATAACGGACGGAGCTGGATTATTTACTTGTCTTCTATCTTATTATCTACCTTTCACTTTAGTTCCTTTATCCTTAACTCTATGTTTTGCAGGATGTTCACTTGACAGATTATATAACAAAATTAGACATGTTAACCTGTATGCTTTTGATATACGCTTTACTGACATATTGACTGTATGCATACTTGTCCATAGTGGAATGTACCTTCTCTTATGTCTCAATAAAAAATGTGATTGATAAAAAAAAAAAAAAAGCTTTTAGCTGTGTACATGAGCAAAGTCATGTGCAGTATATATCAGTAACAGATGTGAATTCTGTGCAGATCTCATGCAAAAAACATCTCATGCATGACAGAAATAGAAAGTATACTTTTTGTGATAATCTATTAATCACTGTTCTGTTTTGTATTTTAAATATCTATTACTACAACACTCTCAGAAATTTGGTTAAGCATGCACACCACGGGATGGGATTTGGCACTAGGGACACTTACATTTTTATCATACTACTTGATATTTATAGGAAGAAAACCTGACGGACTCCATCTATATATTCCTGGAACCAAGTACTGGTAGTACTAAGTATTACAGCTAGTAGTACCACGTACTAGTACTAATCGCGTCACAAATACCCTATATCTTCTGGATATTCCAGGATAATATGTAGAACATTATTCGTGTATTTGCAATGTAAAATTGTTAATAGAATTTGAATTAAAACTGTGAAAAGATTACATTGCTTGAGAATTAATTTCTTACTTTTAATTTAGATTATAATTTAAATTAAATTTTTCTTATTATTGTGACATCTTTTTTTAGGGGACAGATTATTATATTTTGTATTGTTCTGTTACTTTAGGGGGAAAATTCCACTTTTTAAAACGTGTTTAGCTTCATTTTAATTATTTAATAAAATGACAGCTACCGTGTCACATGGATACCCATACCATTGTGTGTTAAACATAAATGTTGGAGAGAACTTCTTCTTTATAAAAACCTGCTTTTTTCTTTATACCTTCATGAATAATATAAAGATGTCTTGACATTTATCTATATAATAATAATACAATGAAAAAAGACAAATAATAGGGCTTAAGCTACTTCGTTTAACACTAAGGAAAACAAAAATTTGCAGCACGCCAGAACATACGCTATGTTAAGAAACAACACAACCCAATTCAGTTTTTCAAAATTCTTTGAATGGTAAAGACATGTAATTGCTCACAAAAACAGAATATATAATAAACAATTGGACATCTACCAAAAACAATAAACGTTTGTGCCATTTTTGATAATAACACAGACTGTTAGCTATGATAATGACATCCTTGATAATGCATTTATATCCATTTTTTTAGTCTATAAAAGAGAACGTTGATATGATTTTTGTATGTGAAGCAAAAGTCATCCATGTTTGTAAAGCAGTTGCACAAAATTAATCATGCATAGATTTTTTTTATTTGTAAATTTAAAGGACCACTATTGTGCCAGGAAAACATACTTGTGCCCTGAGGGTGCCCTCACCCTCAGGGACCCCCTCCCACCGGGCTCTGGAGGGAGGAAGGGGTTAAACTTACCTCTTTCTCCAGCGCTAGGCGGGGAGCTCTCCTCCTCCTCTCCTCCCTCTTCTTCCGTTACCTGCTGAATGTAAATTTGCGCATTCAGCCAGTCCATTGGAAAGCATTCACAATGCTTTCCTATGGACGCTGGCGTCTTCTTACTGCGAAAATCACAGTGAGAAGCGCGGAATCGCCTCTAGCGGCTGTCAATGAGACAGCCACTAGAGGCTGGATTAACCCTATTATAAACATAGCAGTTTCTCTGAAACTGCTATGTTTATTAAAAAAAAAGGGTTAAACCTTGCTGGACCTGGCACCCAGACAACTTCATTAAGCTAAAGTGGTCTGGGTGCCTATAGTGGTCCTTTAACATATTCTGAAAAATATAGATGCAATTTAATACCAAATAGAGGGAGAAAAAAATAAAAATGTATTTGCTGTCTACTTCTTGTAGATGACATGAAATGTGCAAGAAATGTTATTTTATATTCACTGCCAACATGTTAGTAAGGAACAAACATCTTCTTCCACCCTAGGGGTCCATAGTCCAAGACTAAAAGTACCTTTGATTTGTTTTTCTATCTTTCAGGAATGCAAGAAAAAGGGAACGGATAAACATAACCTAAAATACATAACTAAAAATAGTTTATAAACAGATTCTTCACAAGGAACCTAAAAAGGTTTGGCACACATTAAAAATAAGATAACTTTTCCTTTAAGAAAATAATTATAAAAAAGAAGGAATTACATTACGTGTTGATATTGGATTTTAATAATTATTTTTATAATTGTAAAAATAGGATCTTCATCATGTTATATTTTAACGTACAGTAGGTTTCATATTTAACCCCTTAGTGACCAGACCATTTTTACATTTTCTTACTGTTAAGGACCAGGGCTGTTTTTACATTTCTGCAGGTGTTTGTGTTTAGCTGTGATTTTCCTCTTACTCATTTACTGCACTCACACATATTATATACTGTTTTTCTCGCCAGTTAATGGTCTTTCTAAAGATACCATTGTTTTCATCATATCATATAATTTACTATAAAAATAATTATAAAATATGATGCAAAATGTAAAAAAACACACTTTTTCTAACCTTGACCCCCAAAATTTGTTACGCATCTACAACCGCCAAAAAACGCTGATGCTAAATAGTTTCTAAATTTTGTTCTGAGTTTAGAAAAACCCAACGTTAACATTCTCTTAGCTTTTTTTTTTTGCAAGTTATAGTGCTATAAGTACAGGTAGGTCATTGCTGTTTCAAAATATGTATTTTCAAAATGTATCAATAGTAACATTGTAACACTGTTATCTGTAATAAATCTCTGAATAACACCTCACATGTACATTTTTTTTTGAAAGTAGACAACCCAGTGTATTAAATATGGGGTATATCCAGTATTTTTCAGTAGCCACTTAGCCACAAACACTGGCCAAGGTTAGAATTTATATTTGTTTGTGTGTTAAAAATGCAAAAAACTATTATGAATGCTAACTTTGGCCAGTGTTTGTGACTAAGTGCCTACTAAAAAAGACTGAACAAACCCCATTTGTAATACCTTGGGTTGTCTTCTTTTGCAAATGCCAATCCTGGGCTAACATTCGCTCTCAAAGGTATCATATCCAATCTGGAAATTTCAATGTGAAAAAAATGCAAAATCAAGCCTTATATTTGACCTTGTAACTTTCAAAAACACTATAAAAGCTGTAAATGTGGTACTGTTATAATTGGGAGACTTTGCTGAACACAAATATTAGTGTTTCAAAACAGTAAAACGTATCACAACAATGATATCATCAGTAAAAGTGTAATGCGTGTGAGAAAAATGCAAAGACCTTCACTTTAACCTTTCACTGACAATATCATTGCTGTGATATGATTTACTGTTTTGAAACACTAATATTTGTGTTGAGTAAAGTCTCCCAAGTAAAACAGTACACCCCATGTACAGGTTTTAGGGTGTCATGGAAAGTTACAGGGTTAAATACAGTGTTAGCAAATTAAATTCTCTGGACCTTCGGCCTGGGTTGTCAGGCAGGTCTCTCAAATTACAATCAATAAAATTGCTTAAATATGTAAAAATATGACATAAATATGCACATAGAATTTAAATATATATACATACTTATATATTTAAAGTCTACGTGTATATTTATGAAGTTATTCATGTAATCATGTGTATGAGTATGTTTATATTTTGTATTATTTTTATGTATTTATATATCCATAGTTATATATATAATTTAATTACAAGTGTATTTTGATATATATATGTGTATATATTAACATCAAACTAAAGCTAGAATAAATTACATATATATATATATATATATATATATATATAATCTGAATTACACATATATATATATATATATGTAATTTTATTCTAACTGTATTTTGATATTAATATCAAAATACAGTTAGAATAAAATTACACACACATATATATATATATATATATATTTAAAAAATATAAGTACATTTTTTAAAATTAATTATGATTTATATTTAATTAATTATTATTTATTTTTTATAATAACATATATATACACGATCTATATAGTTATCTTATATATTATATAAATATGTATATATTAATAATAAAATACACTTAGTATGACGTTTTATATAAGATATATATATATATATATATATATATATATATATATTTCCTGGCCATATCCATGGCAGCACAACAATGGGTTAGCTCCTCCCTATCCCTAATTAGACAGGAACAGAATTAAAATCAGGGATATAAATACCCCCTCCCACCAATGGTCCCTTAGTCTTTTTTTTCCTGTCCTATCCCTATAGGACTCCAGTCATTGTAGACTGTGAACATACTCTTTTTCTCTTTGGCTTACCTGAGGGTTTTTACCTTTGGCCTCAAGGGAGTTCAGCCTCTCTTCCTTGGGAAGTCTCCAGTACGTGGCCCTGCGCAAAGGATATCCCCCTGGAGATGCTCCTTTAGTGACCGGGAGCCACTTGCAGTGACCCTAGGGGTAGCAAGCAAAATATTGCCAGTAAGGAACATTCCCTGCAGTAACCAAGCGGTAGCAGGAAGTGGCAGAAGAACCTCATCTACAGAAGATTCTTCT